TTGGCGAAGGCATCGCGCAAAAAGCTTCGTTGATTGTTACCTTCGTGCAGCGACGTCGGCGATGGCCACCACGTCGCGTCCTTGTTTCCTTTTTTAATATCGTCCGGAAACTCGCCGGCACCTTTTGTTTGAACGGTGGACGCAAAAGAAATTTCGATGCGCGAATAACCGCACGCGTTTACATTCTTATTTACGAGCGCGCGCGCGCGGCTGAGAAATTGCATTTCCTGACAGTCAAAAATTGTTTCCCGCTGCGAAACTTTCGAATCGAGTATCAAGCACGAGGATGATTACGTCGCAAACGTAAATATTCCGGCGGGCTGTTCCTCTTTTCCCGCACGGATGGAAAATCAAATATTGCATCTTCCGATGAAAGTTGCAGTGACGTCGCCGGAGAATTTTGACTCGAAAACTCAAATATTCAAATATTTATGCACTGTTGAATAATTTTCCGGACCGGACCTCCCTCCAGAGAGTCGCTTCCAACCTCGTCGAGAGAAATCTACGACTTATTCCACCGGTACACTCACATATCCCTACATCCATCCGCTCTCGCGACTTATTCTTGTGTCCAAAGCGAAAGTTCACGAATCGCTGCGCTAAGAAGAAAAATAGTTGATCCAACTTAAAATTATTATTCTTTATCTCAACTACATATTTTCTATTGTAACATGGAAATGTGGTACAGATAGAATATTATGATTTTTTCTCCACATGTATGTATAAATTCTATTCAACTTTACTATATTTTTAGTATAGTCCAGAAAAATAGACTGTATCGACGGTAAAGCCTGATCTACAATGTGCTGTTTGCTTCCTGTTTCTTATTCTTTATCCTTTTTTAATTAAAGGCTCAAGGTTTAAATCGGGAAGAGATAAAGAGAAAGAAACAGAAAGCAAAGAGCACATTATAGATCAAGCTTAAAGTCTATCTTGCTAAGAAACATGGCAAATTTTTCTAGAAAAATGCATTGAAAAAAATTCTAATCTAACTAAAATTCCAGTTTTTTTGACCACGCAATTAAATATTTTGCAGCAAAAAAAGTAGTAACTATATGACTATATATATATAAGGTTATTATCACTACTAGCTTCTACATTATGATAAAATAGTAGATAGAAAAGTAGTAGTATAGTAGAATATAATAAAAAAATTGTTTTCGTAATCATAATTTATAGTATTTATTTCTCTATACGATTATAGTTACAAATACTAAACATTTTTTCTCAGTGTTCGTACGTACATGTCCATACACATACATTCCTACGTTTTGACGAAAAGCATCCCCCTACCCCCTTTTTAGTGATATAATCATGCCCAGAAACCCGAGTCGGGACAAGTATTATATCGTGAAAAGTGCTTTTTCCTCGTTTTCAATTACGAGTTTAGCCAACCGTTCAATGCATATCTCTTTCTCTCTCTCTCTCTGTCTCTCTTTTTCTCTCTCTGTTTGCTCTTCTCTACCTCCACCTCCTCTTTTCCCCGTCCCTCCATAAGTTTGATACGGAGCGGCCTGTACTATATAGAGTTCATTTGACCGGACGAGGTGATTTACATAGGAGGTGCGTGAAATAATTGCTGAAACTATCAACGAACATGTCGGAAGTACGAGCGGTTTGCTCGGTAATTTTCGTTAATGAAAATTTAATGCCCCCTACTTTTGTACCCACACGCCGCTGGAACTCTATTCATGTGGGCCATCGTGAAAGCAATATGTGATACGCTTGGCAGTAGTTAGATCGCGAGCAATTAGCTAATCTTTTCATATACGCGGCATAATCGAGGATAACGCAATTGCGCCATGAATTTCGAATTTTTCACGGCACGGCGCACATCGCCATTGTCCGCTGCGATGAGGATTATCGAATTTCGGGAAAGGAGGACTCGAACTGAAGAGCGCTCGTTTTGTTATGTTAATTAAATCTTAAGACTCTGATACCTCTTCGCAATGATATCTTTCTGCAAAAGTGGAAGAATTTTTATTACAAATATATATTTTGAAACTAGAGAAAAATCAATGTTCACACATTCTCTTCCCGACGCGAAATCCTAAGAGTGAGGGATATAATTGAACAATATGAATATCGCGCACAATGAAAGAAAGCTTTGTATTTTGGCAGTAATGTTATTACTCGATTCGTAAAATGCAAATTATATAAATATAATTAAATATTTTTTATTTCTTGGATATCTTTTTCTCCAGTGTGTATCTCATAATCGCTACGTTCTATTTTTTTTTTTTTGTAAAATTAAGACAACTTGATGTTCTTCACGAGTAGTGGATGTAATTTTAAGAAAATTACTTACTGAATCCATTTTTGCAATATTTATGGGATTTTCTTGCTTATTAATTTCCTAAGCAGCGAATGTTTTCGGATAATTTCTTACAACATTATTCTTAGCAGCAATGTAAGTTTATCCAATCTTACGGTAAGTTAACCAACTGAATTTCGCGAGCCCGAAACTTCTCTCGCCGAGCCTCGAAAAAAGCCTTTTCGGGAGAAATTCTTGATTACTCGCATCCCCCGCGTCTCGTTCTTACCACATTTTTTCGCTAGTCCTTTCCTGAAAAGTAGATTCCGTTCCTCCCACGATCGTATCCCGGCATCCTTTCCGTCGCATCCAGTTTCAATTTACCGGATCTGCCAGGAGTCTCCGATTGCTACTGTTTTTGCTCTAGACGAGCGTTTCCGGTGGAGTCGAATCTAGTCAGGCCAAGAAAAATGGCTCCCGCGGCGGACGGAAGGAACTCTCTGGGGATCAGACACCTGCGAAACCAGAAGTCAAAGTCTCGGTAGACAGAACAAGACCTTTCGCGAAATAGAAAAATATTTATAGGATTGAGACATCCGCTAATCTGATATTACGATCTCGAGTACATGTGATTTTCCAAATGCGATCTGTACGTGTGGAGGAGTTTCGAATAAAGAGAAAAAGCCCCAAAATCTAAGAGTGTCGCGGAAAATACGCGCAGAGAGAAAGAAGGAAGAGAAAAGTATATTTCTGAATTTAATATTTTCAACATACGTGCGTGTGTTTGCTTTCTAGTAAAATATATTTTAGCACACAAAAAAGAAATCTTTAAAAAATCTTCCTTCTTTCAAAGAATCAAAGACTTTACTATACATTCATATTTCAGAGATGCACAGTTCCTTAAAAAATCCTTAATTACAAATATATTTTAGGCTCTTTAAGAAAATATTAAACCAAAGATTTGTTAGCAGTAAAAATAAATAAATTACTCTCAAGAAATTAAATGAATTATGTAAAAATGAATCAATCATATATCTCGTGTAGAAAATCACTCAATCCTCTCATCCAACACAAAACAAGAAAGCCAAAGAAGGAAACAAGAAATGTGAGGTGACACAAAAGTAGGATAAACAGCTATCAATGCCAAAAGTTTTGTTATGGTAAAGAGTATCGGGATTAAGAAATAAAGAAGCATCTTGATTGTATCTCGATTCTCAGGCTTGAGTCAAATGCAAATATTATCCATCGACCGTCGGACTCTTAAGGGAATGACGCTTTGTGACCGGATCAGACTAAAGAACGGGATAAAATGGAAGAAAACTGCAAACGAACTCGAGTCTCACGCGTAGACCCTCGGAGTTCAACGTTGCATATCATATTAAGCATTACACAAAATAAGATTTGGGGAATGTTGGCAGAAGTTACCAATTTTTATCATTGCGCTGCGCATCGTAAAATATAATCTCGCTGAAAGCTGATGACACGACAAAAAAACTTGCGCATTTGCATTTTTATTCTAATACTATCATCTTGATGCGACAAATATATCCCTTTACGCATGAATATTTATGCGGTATTTATGTATTAAATTTTTACATCAACGTGTCGCGAGCTAACCGTCCCTAATCCCTCGGGTATTAATATAATAAATATCGACTGCTGAGGGAATATTAAGTTTTAATGGACTATTTGAATAACATGAATATCATGAATATTTTCGCAAACGTTACCTTCCATGCAAAACGCATAGGATTATTATAAATTGCAAATACATGATAATATGATAATAACGTTAATAATCGTACAATAAGTGTCAAGAGAATACTTTCCCGTGCTTCTTGCACTCATCAAACTTTTCTTATAACATGGAAATAAGCTTATCGAACTAATACTTGCTCTATCAACTTTCTTTCTTACTGTTCCGATATTTGCACTGGGAGAAAAAAACATACTTCAGAAATAAAAAATATTTATTCCACTATAATAACGTATTTACTTATATCAGTATATAAAATATTTTCCAAATAAAGAATAATATACATTTTCCACCAATATCAACTTTATAACCCACAAATAAATTTTTTCCCAGTGTAACTCAACAATTTCTCTGTATTTGCAGCAACTATATAATTAATTATTCCGTATTTTACTTATTGGTTAATACAAGCAGATTTATGTGTGACCCAAATATACTGCTTTTCCCGTGCAAATATGCTATTAGTACCCACCCGAAATAAATATCTTTTATTTTTCTAGATATTTTTCTCTCAATGTATCGTTATGAAATAATGATTATTATGACGTTAAATAATGCTGTTATGAAATAACGATTTTTGCCGTTAAAATATTTTCGCTAAAATCGCTTCACTGAAAAAAGAATTTTGTTGTTGAAACGAAAATTTGGTACATCGAGCTAAAATCTGATTAAAATGGAATCAACCAAATATTTGATAATTGCAACCAAAAGATTTCAATACTGCTTGTGTATTTTGTTTTCTCATTAATATATTTTACTCGTAACACAAGTAAAAAGCATAATAATGTGCCAACCAAATCATATGTACCAAATATTTTAGTTCTAAGTACAGAAATAATTTTTTCCGTGTTATTCAATGCATTTGTCGTTGTTCTTTTGTACTCACCGTTCAAATCGTCCCGCTCGTCATTCTTGCACGATCCCTTATCCGTTCGGATTGTTGGCCAGGCTGCGATGTAGACGAAACACGTTCCTTTTTACGGCTTTCAGTGGTCGAAGGTGCAATCCGCCAAGTTCTCGATTTTGGAACATCAGATGGACCCGAGCAGCAATTTCAGCAGCTATCGCAGCACGTTGAAGGCCGCGATGTGGCGTAGCGCTGGCGCTACAGACGAACGCCAGCGAATCGTAGTGCCCTTCTTCAGCCTTCTCGTCAAGGACCTTTACTTCCTCAACGAGGGCTGCAGCAACAAGTGAGTGATATTCCCTTCCCTCAGATCGACGAACTACTCGCGCATTTTTGCGACGAAACGAAATTACAAGCCGTCGCGCATGAAATTGCGACGCGGTCCGATTGAGATTCTAAGGGCGCGAAGCTTACATGCGCTTATTTCGTTTTTTACGGGATTTCGCGATAAGATGGATAATTTCGTGAGACAAGATACGTCGGGATAATTATGCGAGACTTGCGAGCGCGTCCTCATCAACGGCACCGAAGCAGAAGTCACTTATCGATCCGCGACGTGCCAGGTACTCCTAAGAGCCGACAGGTTCCCCCGTCGCTAATTAATCCCCGCGCTCAAGCTCAGTTATGCGTTCCAGACTGCCAAACGGTCACATCAACTTCGAGAAGTTCTGGCAGCTGGCGAAGCAGGTGACCGAATTCATCGCGTGGAAACAAGTTGCCTGTCCGTTCGAGAAGAATTCCCGCGTCATTGCCTTCCTCCAGGCGAGCCCCGTGCTGACGGAAAACAGTAAGCAGTATTCGTATATTCCGTTCTGTCGAGTTTTGGTGCAAAAGATTCGTCACTTTTCTATTTAGTTTTCATAGCAAGTTTATGTATCGCAAGAAAAATTCACGTTAAATGTCTAACAAGAATGCCGAATCAATAGTAACCCTAGAAACCTGAACCATAGACATTTCTCCCCTTTTTCAAGAACTTTATTCCAATTAATGATATGCCGATTTGAAGCTTATATATTGAGTAGATTAAGAAAATATAAAGTTTTACAAAAAATCAAACAATCATACTAGTTGTTTGTTGAAATTACTACTTTCTGAATTATTTATCTCCCAAAGGACTACGAGAATAATATTGAGATTTTATATTTTTATATATCTACTCATCTTAAACTCTTCAAATCTATATACCATTTATGAGAGTATCCAAAATTCTAGGAAAAGAAGCAAAACTTGACACTCTTTAGCCAGATTAATTTTTCAAACGTTAGCATTCTTAAAAATATGTTTTGTTTTTTATTGTAACTTCATGAAGCGCAAGAATATTAATATAGAATTATATTTCTCTATGATTTCTGCACGAAGAAAATATTATCATAAAAATTTTAATAAAATTTGATAATTTTAGAAATTGTGTGTGCTCTCTCTAAAAAAAAAAGAAAAAAATATTAAATTTCGATCATTTTTTTTAATTATGAGTCAAAGAAGATGCACTTAGTAAAATTTACCCATATTTAAGACACATAATTTTTTAATGTTTAAAGTTCCGGGGTTAAAATAAAAAGAATAAAATAACGGATTCTTCAGTGTGCAATCGCAAAAGGAATTAAAGCCCGTGAGAGTCAACATTAGACCATATAATTGTATGTGTGGGTATACATGAATTTAATATCCAATTCAATTTCTATTTATGAGAGTTTCTTTCTATTTATCAAACAGAAATTGAGTTATATTAAATTCACGACCGCAATCTAATATTACGTCTTATAGACTTTCATTTCTTTTGCACATTAATACTGTTCATTTTATTCATAGAAATTATTAATCCCACGAAATTGGATAATTTCTTGTTTTATTGGATAAACACATGATAAATCCTTTGCGTCAATCTAATATCATATGCGGAGACACGAAATCGTTCGACTTTTCTGAGTCTCTGGCTTCTTCTGTTTCCACAGCACTTGCGCTAGCGTCTTTCGAGTGCGAGCCACCCGACAACAATCCAGAGAAGGAACGTTACAAAGCTTTAAAGTAAGTACTGCAATATCTCATAAGATATAAAAAAATTGTCCATTGTTGTTCTGTGAAAAAAATATTGAGTAATATCAGAAAACGGGACGCAGAGTGGAATTCTCCGTTCTAACCGGCAGTAACGTAATGAAATTGAATCGAATCTCCAGGCAATATCGATGCACCTCGCGAGCACCGGACGTAGCGAAACTTCAGAATTCAAAAAATTTAATCGTAGCGATGCTTCCAATTTTATCCAATGCAAGTTTTTACATTTAAATATTAATTTAACACGTTCGCTTCCAGGATTTATTTATAGAGAATTCTCCTTATCAGTCATCTTGTATTTTTTTAACATGCATATATAAAACATTTAATTTGATAATATGTGAACATAGAAAGCAATTGACACGCTTGGCTGTCATGCTTGTGTAACTCTGTTACCAAACGTGTCAATGTACTATCCCATTGCAATTGTTGTTAATCTTCAACAAATAAACCGTGCAAAAATTGCACATAACTATTATGTATTCAGCACATATTTATTTACGTACATTTTTACAAAACGGTTTTGAGAAAGAAAGATCATACACGAATTTTGCTCCCCTATATGGCAATATATATCATCATATATATATATATAATCATGCATAATTATATATATTCGCAGTGAAAAAAATACTGTTATACAAATACAATTAATATAAATGCTTATGCTTCTGTCACAGTACCTGATATTGAGATTTAATTGGATAAAACTATTTCTTTCCTTTTCCATTTAACATCATTTTGTCCCGTGTAAACATATATCATTATACATGTAGAGAAAAAATTTATATGTAATCATATGTAATTTTATATAATTAGTTATAATCACTCTTTTTCTCAAGAAAAATAACTCGCTTGATCGTTGGGAGCAACAAATAAATGCCTTTCCGCAATCGTGTGTTATCAGGTCCGAGATGAACGCCCAGTGAAAACGAGCTATGCTGAAGCATACCGAATGGGAACGGTATTGATATATACAGATCTATGAAGATACATTTATAAATATTAATATATTCGTAAACGTAGTTAGAGTTTACCCGTGAACAAGACGACGGGGAGAGAAGAGTGAATAGTGGGTGGAGGAGCAACAACGGACTATAAAGTATTATGCGGGCGATCCACGTGAGACACTTACGTGTGTCTCCATCTTGCGAATCGACACCAGGTCGAGAACGATTCTTGGTGACGGCTTGCTGTCGAAAGAACGTCATCTGATCGATCTGTACGGTCGTCGTTGCTTTTTCCATCGCGTCTCCTTCAATTATTTGCCGCAGCTGCCGATTGATTCGCCAAACAAATAATTCCAAGATTATTTATTGCGTCACATTTTCAACTTTAATCTCCACGATCGATCTCGTCTAAGGATGTACTGCCTGTACAATCCCTGCAGACAGCCACTGGAAATCAGAAATGCATTAATATTTTCCACATAAAAATACATATATTTATATATGTATATATTTATTTATTTATATTTATTTTATTTTATATTATATATTTCTCATATATATACATAATACTTATATATATACTTTTAACTTCGAATCACGATAAAATACTTTGTATACATAATATTAGATATTAAAAAATACATATAGACAAAAATTGAGATTTTTGTAATTATTTTGTATTGACTTTTTAATTATCTTTTCCTTAATTAAAGGATAGCAATATTAAATACCTTTCTAACAGCATGAGTCAAATACTTTTGATATAAAATATCATTAATGATGTATTTACAGCGTCTCTAATGTCAATAATACGTTATATAGACGTCACTATATCTGCTGTAGTTTACCCTTCAAAGTGCAGTAACTTTCGATCCGAGCTCTGAATCAACTTTCAGATGCGATACAGAGGAATCTGTAATTTTATCCAAATCTTCACACATTATTTCTGAGACACGAGCAGTACATCCTTAACGATTCGCCGTTTGCAAAACGTCACGTCATCGTGGAAAAGCGGCATTCGCGTACTTGGATAATAGTTGGGCGGATTTTATTCGCAACGATTGGTCGTGGCTAAAAGGCATGATCAATAATAATGAACCGATGCGAACGAAGCACTCATCGATCGGCGAGAATATACATGATCGATCGACGGCATTCACGGGCACCGTAAACATCAAAAGTCCGAGTACACACACACACACACACACGCACGCATACGTACATACACACACACACAATGCACACATGATACACAGCCTCGACCATCTCGATGGCTCGGGAACCTTCACGGTCAACGTGGCCTGCGGCGCGACTGTGAATTTCGCTCGACAATGCCACGTGTAGCCGTAAGTATAGTTCCTAAGCTCCTCGCGTGACCCGTCGGTGGCTTCTCCCTCGAGCGAGAAAAGAGCCAGCAGCAAAGAGAGAGGAATCGCCGACTCCGCTCGCACGAATTTTCCGCGCGAACCTCCGGAAAGATTCGCAGTGAGCGCGGCTCGAGTGAGACGCGATCCGGCGCGTCCGACCTTTTTTGTACATAGCCCTTTTGATATAACGCTAACGCAGGCTCTTAGATGTGAGAAGTAGGGTCGTTCCTGTAGAGTAATAAGACGAAACAACAAACGCCCGCGCGATACCAGTTCGCGGCTCTAGATCGTAACGATTAATCATAATAATAACAGTAAGGATCGTCGTGCACGTACTTAAGCGGACGAGGAAGAGGACGATCGATCGAGGCGAGGAAGATCGAAAGTCGAAAGTCTCGGCTCGAAAACGACACGGCTCTCTCTACCCCTCTCTCTCTCTTTCTCTCTCTATCTTTCCCCTCCCCCTCCCTTCCTCTCACCGCCGTGGGAAAGCTCGTCCTTCACGCGTTCTCCGACGTGTCGATCGCCACGATCGATGACAGTCGCATGCCGTGACTTTCTTTTCAGTTTCTTTGCTGTGTGACGCACGTAAAAAACAAAAAAGAGAAAAAGAGAAAACGCACGGTTCGTAAAAATCGCGCGCGGCATAAACGATCGACCAGGGTGATTCGATTCGCGGCACGGCGCGCGCCGCGCGTGTTTTCTCGCGGAAATTCGGACGGCGCGGCGGGCGAAACGGCCGGGAGAAATATGCCCCGAGCAATTTTCATTAAAAAAAAAGCGGCGTCGCGCCGCTGTGCAAATTATTCTCGCGGCGCGAGCGTATCCGGGAAGGCTCGCGAAAATTACGTGCTCGCGCGCGAGTTTTCTCGTCAATATTTGTCGGCGCAATTCGATTGAGGGGATGCCAAAATCGATGACAAACTCCAAAAATGCTGGTAACGATCGTCATCGACACAATCGCGCTGTCTATTTCGTATTTCTTGCACATATAGTTCTTACGTAAACGCATGTTGCTTTTTTTCACCATATTTAGCCTAATCACGCGTATACAGAGATCATACTGCAAACTTTTCCAATATTTTCAAACTTCTAAATTCGGATGTAAAGCAATATTTTTCGAAATTTTTCTAAGTAGAACAAACTCGCGTTTGGTACACAGAAAAAATGGAATTCTTCTCTAGAAAATATCTTTGTTTTTTACAATAAACGTTTGTTTAAATGTTTGTTCAAACGAGATTATATAACATTAAACAAAGATAAGTTACACTCAAGAGTATATTTTATATAACAAATATATTTTTTTCAACGAAAAAAATTAGTGCTCTTATCATTCAAGAATAATTTTTATCCATTGAAAACACAAAATATTCGATTGAGAATATAATGGTTTTAAACGTGTTATACCGCAAATTCCTCTATCTTAAAAATAATATATTCAAATTAACAAACATTTTTTTATACATAAGTAACAACATATAATTTTGTTAGAAGAATTTTAAAGTATCGAATTTCAATAATGATTCAATAATTTCATAATTTTATTTGAATATTATGAATAATCCCATAAGAATACTAAAAAATACCGTATGTCTAATTTGATAATAAAATGATATCTATCTCCCGACGTTTGAAAAATATTATCATCTTCTCCATCTAATATTTTGTGCTTTCCATCAATAAAAATTATTTTTGAATGATAAGAGGATACAGATTTTTCTCCGTTCAATTATATAGAATGTATTCTTGCGAGTAACTGATCTTCGTTGAGTGCTACGTAATCTCATTTGAGAATTAAAACAAATGTAACAAATGAGAATATTTTCCAAACAAGAATTCGTCCATTTCTTTTTGTGTATATGTAAGCTACTAATATTTTGTATCAGGCAAATATTGACTTCAACTGATAGCGTTTAACAGGCTACCTTGCACTCGAAATGTCGACTTTGAAATTTTTTGTCGTTTTTGTCGTATATTGAGCGATGCAATTCATTCCCGTGCATTATTCTTATTGTGCAAGAGCATTTGCAATTCTATGCAGCTAAAGCGACGTAAATTCTACAGAAAGAAGTCAGTCTATCGAGAAAGATTTCGATTCCAGTATCCCCTTAATAACGAACGATCTATCGTAATGTCGCGACGAATTTCCCGTTGAAATATATTGGCCACTCAACTCTCGCAGAGACATTCGGGCGACGGAAAAAAGAGAGGGCGAAATTATCGTCGATGATTGGTGAAGCCCGACTTACGCCGGAGATGAATTGGTCTGTTAATTAGCGTTAATAAAACGTAAATGTAGGGTGCCGTGCCTTCCGTCAAACATAGTCGAGATGTAATTAAAACGCAAAATTTACAGATTATGAAATGTTGCGATTATGTCGAGCTCTGTGTATCCCTCGAAACGGAGCGCATTCTTGACGCGTGCGTCACTATTTTCCGCGTGATCACACGCGTTTCGCCGTGATCAAAAAAGAGAAAAATTAAAAAATTAAACCGACGTCTCCGCAAAAAGAGAGGAAAAATAGAAAAAAGAGAAGCCGAAAGAACACGAATCCACCAAACGCGACACGTCAGGACAGATCAGCCGTTTTCCTTTCGCATTTCGGCAAAAATTCCCTTTTGCCCGGATGAATCCAAGAAAAGCAGACACATGTGTTTCTCCGAACAGTTATAGGGACCAAGTGTTCGTTTCTCCCTGGGTAACGTGGACTTTGCCCATGGCGCGACAAAATAATGCCGGGAAGTCGCGACGGCACGATCGAGGGTGGGGAAAAGCAAAGCGCACTGTCGAATTTCGCACAGTGGAGCCAGGACTTCGCGAGCTGAGAGAAAAATCGCATGCGAAATCGGAAAACGCGCGCGCGCCCGATCTCTCGTCTGAAACAGGCTGCGCTGAAACGCCAAGACAGCGAACGAGTTTCGCGATTCTTTGAGGCGATAAAAGTCACACAAGAGGCAAAACCTCCTCCATTCCCCTTTTCCGTTCCGCCGGCGTCGCTCACTCATTCCCATTTTGATCTTTAATAAGAATTCCATATCCGCTCTCGTTTCTCCACGCGGTCGGCGGGACGATCGATAACGATAATCGTCAGAAATAGTCGGTCGCGATTTCCTCTCGCTGACGAGAATACTTCTCGTTGCATTTTTCACCGCGTTGCCGAGGAGGTGGAAACGATCTCGCCGCGGTTTCACGCGTATAAGTATATATACATATATATACAGAGTGTCTGAATATTCAAAGGCCGCACACACACACACACACACACACACACACACACACACACACACACACACACACGCACACAGAAAGATATCATTCTACTGGTAAGAAAAGCGATTACAGTGTATTTTCTTTCTTGTCAGTAATGGTTATCTTCAAAACAAACAAGATTTTCTTGGTAATGGTCTTAAAATATGCTCATTACGAATTTTAAAAAAGTTCATTGTCATATAGTCAAAGGAAGAATTTATTCTCTTTACAAGAATATTAGACTTTACAAGAATATTAGACTTTTTCTCGAAAAAGTAGTTACTTTGACTCTATATAATAAGCAAGCCAAATTTTTGTTCAAATCATGTGAATTTGCATTATATATATCTAAAAGAAATATTTATTCTCTTTACAGGAATATTACGAAACTTTATTTAGAAAAAGTTAATTCGACTTTATGCAATAAGCAAACTGAATTTTTGCTCAAATCATGTGAATTTACATAATGTACTGAAAAGAAAAATTTATTCTATTTACAGGAATGTTACAAAACTTTGTTGAAAAAAAGTTGGTCTATACATAATAAGCAAATCGAACTTTTACTTCAATTTAATATTCTTGATTGAAATACTAAACTTGTTAGAATATCTCTTGAATAAATTTGCTATTTATCATGAACTTGTGATACATTTGCGAATATGTAAACTTATAAAATATTTGAAACAAGTGATATTTACTTGAATGTAATTGTATCACTAATGTATACTTAATATACACTTTCCTGTGTGCACCCCTCGTGTACAGACAGAGCGGTTCAAACTGAACAGCTCGTATTGCTCGATTAATTCCTTAATGAATATTGCAAAAAATTTGCAAAACAGTACACGAACTTCTTCGTTCAGTTTGAACCGTTGTACCTGCACATGACGGGCGTGTCCTGAATTTTCGCGGACATAATACATATATGTATACATTATACTTTCCTCGCGACACTTGCATTTTAAATCGCTCGCATTTTTCTCTCGGTGAATGAAGTAAACGGCGGAAGTAAGCGAAGACACACGAGATGCACTTAGCACGAGGTGTACAGAAAGAGAAATAAAAAGATCGCGCAACAAAGAAAGTATAATTTATCGATCGAAGGGACAAATTACGCGAGCTCTGGTCGCGAATCAGGTCGTCGTGAAGAATGCTCACCTCGATGTATCGCTGAGACGCGTATTTATCGTCCCGTTTCTCCGCCCACGAGCTCGGCCGGGATCGGTCTCGGGAGACGCGATACGATACAGCGCGATAGGTGAATCCTGAGAGTCAATTCGATATATTCGTCTGTAATCGCGATGCATGACGCGTAAAGCGGTAAACTACGCCTCTCGAGACTGCGGCTCAAGTGACGACTGTAAATACGGGTCTGAGGTAAATCGATTGATAATCGCCAATCATCACGCACGATGTCATTGTCGAATTGCGATTACCGATTATGTTTCTTCGACATCACACACACACGCACAAATACACACACACACACACACGAGCGATATATCTTCATTGCGTATCTTGTTACATATATTTATCGTCGGAAACACCTGAATTATTGAGTCGTCTTTTCATTGTCTTACCCACTAAATTTCTCGCAGCGGGATCTCTCACGCAGAACCAGTGAGGCGTGTCAGTATTTTCACTTGAAGCGATAGCGAGAAGAGAATACTTGCACTCGAAATCGCAAGGGTGAGGATTTCACTCCAGCTTACAGTGAATTCTGAATCCGCATGAGCGGTTGTGAGCTTAGAGTGAATTCTGATTCCGTATGAGTGGATGTTTCGATTAGAGTACCCAAGTAGTCAAGGAACATTAGATCAACAATATAAAATATCGATTTTACGTGTATCTCTTCAAAATTCTCGCTTAATAGCTTACAAATATTTCAAAGATATTGTCAGACAATATGATCTCTTTGAATATCGCGAAAATGTTCCAGAAATATTGATGTGCCAAAATGATTCATAATGATGTCAATTGAAAACTACGTATTCAGTAACGTTACACACTCTTGAATATCGTTGCAATAACGTTCTATCAGTGACTTTTGGCTTACCGAATGTGTTTCTGTGATTGTGTGAGGTACATCAGTCTCACTCTTCAATTTTGCATAAAAATATTCACCTGACGGATCAGAATGGAGAATTCCGTGTGAGTGAAAAATCACTTAAATTCGAGCGACTCGTCCCACTTTTCAAGCGAAATTTCGCTCCGAGAAATTCAGAGATATTCAATTCGTATATACGCCACGTATGTACTTGAACGGACACTTTTCATTTATATATAAGAGATGTTTTTGGAGTTTTATACAGGAGTATAATATATATCGAAATAAAAGAAAAAAACACAAGAAATCGTAGACGTTAGACGACGAGGAAGAAAAGAGGACACACGAGCACGCGCCGAAACTCGTTGTTATTGCGAGGCAACGCATCTTTTTAACACTTTTACAAATTTACAAAGTGCCGATATTATAATCCGTCAGTTTTTACTTGCCATTTTGTAAGCATTTGATAACGACACTTTCGTCCAATATATTGATTCGATCGCCATCGATTAATACACTAACGAGCGAGATCTGGTTGCGCCACGAGCTCGTGACAATTTTCCGTAAGAAATAAGAGAAAAAAAAGAAGATAAAAGTAGTACGTAAACCAAGCCGACGATTGCGCGTGCACGTTATCGTAAAAATCAATGATTAACAGTAAGGCTAATTACGCTGTACCATCTTAAGCGGCGCGCGTGTTACATTGTCAATATTCGTAGCGTTACGTCGTGATCGTGTACGATCATTATCCGTGTTCATGAATTCTTATCCCCTCTCTCTCTCTCTCTCTCTCTCTCTCTCTCTCTCTCTCTCTCTCT